GGGGGGGGGGGGGGGGGGGGGGGGGGGGGGGGGGGGGGGGGGGGGGGGGGGGGGGGGGGGGGGGGGGGGGGGGGGGGGTCGGCTTATGCCCTCTCGCCACGGATCCGGCGGGCCAGCTGGATGTCCTTGGGCATGATCGTCACGCGCTTGGCGTGGATGGCGCACAGGTTGGTGTCCTCAAATAGACCCACCTGAGATGATAAAGAGGAAGAGAAACATGGTGTGGTGTTGTCGAGTCATGATGCGTAGCATGCATGTGGGTGACAAGTTATGCTTGGTGTCTGATGAGCGAGAGACCGAGAGAGGAATGCCAGCGTCATATGGATGCGGGTGAGAGAGAGCCGTGCGTGATGTCTGATCAGAGTACAGTAACGTGGATGTTACAACCCGTCGCCCGGAGTGCTTCTAACCCGCTACTGACCCACCACCTACAGACAGACCGTCCGCCAAGGATACAGCAAATCCCACCGGCGGTGAGCCCGACGCTCGACTCCATGAATTCTTGGGCTTCACCCACCCTCACTAACGCTGTGCAGGCAATGCTGCTCTCCACCATCTACAAGTCCGTCGTGAGCGGGCACAAGGTCGGCGGGGTTGACCTCGTTGATGCTGGACAACCTCCCGAACAAGCAAACACCCGTACTTCTTACTTCGTGCTTGTTGCAGTTCACGCGTGGTCTGTTGTTTGCGTAGCGTCCGGCATGAAGTGCGGATGCGACAGCTGGCAGAAGCACTTACATTAGCCCCTGCGAGGGACTCGTACGTGCTTCTGCTGGCCTTCACGGGCTGTCATATCCGCACTTCATGCCGGACGCTACGCAAACAACAGACCACGCGTGAACCGCAACAAGCACGAAGTAAGAAGTACGGGTGTTTGCTTGTTGGGGAGATCGATCAGCGGGGACGAGGGAAGTCAACCGCGACAACCTTGTGCCCGCTCAAGACGGTAGTTCGGATCTGGCGTTAGTCGGGGCGCGTGATGTCAAGAGTTGATCCCAACGAGCACTAGTCGGTGGCGGGGGGGTGGCCTCGCCATTTGTGGGTGGTTGGCTCCACGGTGGCGGGCTAGAAGCACTCCAGACGATGAGTGGCTCGCTGTCCACGAGCAGCGACGTGCGACAAATGGGCAACTGCCCTGTCGCCCTCGCCAGATGCTACTGTATACAGGCTACTTCCTGAAGTGAACCGCGTGCAGGAAGCAACCCCCCGCAAGTAACTCTGCCCCATACACTTCAACCGAACCCCCCCGACCGCGACAGTCGATGCCCCTACCCTTACCATCAGCGCGGAATACCGGCGCACAGCAGTGTACAGTACCGATGAACAAACAGCAGCCAATGAATCCTCACCAGGTACGCCTCGGCGGCCTCCTGCAGGGCCAGGATGGCCGTGCTCTGGAAGCGGAGGTCGGTCTTGAAGTCCTGCGCGATCTCGCGCACCAGCCGCTGGAAGGGGAGCTTGCGGATGAGCAGCTCGGTAGACTTCTGGTACCGACGGATCTCGCGCAGGGCCACGGTTCCGGGCCTGTAGCGGTGGGGCTTCTTGACGCCGCCTGCCGTCGGGGCCGACTTGCGGGCGGCCTTCGTGGCGAGCTGCTTGCGGGGGGCCTTGCCTCCGGTGGACTTACGGGCGGTCTGGGAAAAACGCGAGGGGCAAGACAAAGACGAAGACAGAGAAACGGAATGAGCGTTGGTGGCCAAACAAGTCGTACCGCTGGTTGACAGAGGAAATACACACAAAAACATGAA